AGCCCAGAGGCCAGCAATCCAGCCCCTGCTCTGTGCAGGTACATGCAGTGGCCCCTGTGTGTCCCTGCACTCCCAGGCCTCGGTTTCCCTCTCTGATTCTTGGTGTCTCTCTCTTCCTCTACAGGCACATAGGGCAGCCCAACGAAGCCCTGAAGTTCCTAAACAAAGCACGCAAGGACAGCATGTGGGGCCAGAGAGCTACCTACTACATGGTGCAGATCTGTCTGAACCCAGACAGTGAGATCGTGGGCGGAGAGGCTTTGGAGAACCTGGTGGCTGAGAGCAAGTAAGGGCCAGGCTGACCTGCGGGGCAGGGGTGGGACCCCGGGAAGGCGGGGAGAGCCTGTGGCCTCTAGGTCCAGGCCAGGGGAAGGCCACACGGGCAGGCCGGCGGCCTCTGCTTCGGCCTCCCACGCCCGCAGCGCCCCCGACAGGAAGGAGTCGGAGCAGCAAGGCGTGCGTACGGCCGAGAAGCTGCTGCGCGAGTTCTACCCGCGCTCGGCCTGGGGCCAGACCCAGCTGAGGCTGCTGAAGAGCCTCTGCCTGCTGGCCACCAGGGAGAAGGCCAACGTGGAGGCGGCGCTGGGCACCTTCATCGAGATGGTGCAGGCCGAGGTGCGCCAGCGGGGCGGGGGCGGGGGCGGGCGGGGCGGCGGGGCCAGGCCGAGGGCCGAGCGACGACGCCTGCTCCCCCTCCCCGGTGCGCAGAAGGACAGCGTCCCCGCCCTGCTGGCCATGGCACAGGCCTACATGCTGCTGAAGCAGGTCCCCAAGGCGCGCACGCAGTTGAAGCGCCTGGCCAAGGCCCCGTGGGCGCTGGCCGAGGCCGAGGAACTGGAGAAGAGCTGGCTCCTGCTGGCCGACATCTACTGCCAGGGCAGCAAGTTCGACCTCGCTTCGGAGCTGCTGCGGCGCTGCGTGCAATACAACAAGGCGAGGGGGCGCACTGCCGACAGCGCGGCCGAGGCGCGGGGAAGCGGGGTCTTCAGGGCGCAGGGGTGCGGGGAAGGAACGTGATGAGACGAGGCGGGACAAGAAGGGGCACATGGACCACACAGCAGGATGGGAACGGAGAACCCGGGAGACGGGGCAAAGGCTAGAGGAGGAGGTGGGCAGGTTCGGGCAGCCCCGAGCGGAGATCACGGGATGGAGAAGAGAGATGGGAAGGGTTCATGAGGTCGACGGGCGTGTAGGGGTTGGTCGGGCCAGGAGGGGCGTTTGCAGGTCTTAGCAGGAGGCCTGCCGGGGAAGGGGTCCTGCCAGCCTCGGAATAGCTGAGAAGAGGGTGCACAGTTCACCCCTCGCAAAGGTGGGGGTGCTGCTGGAGTCCCTGAGTGGTTTGAGTTAATGAAGCTCACAGCCGTCCTTTGCCCCGGCTCCTCCCACCTCGGCTGGTTCCACCCGCCACTGGGACCGGTTGCGGCTTCCCCTCCGCAGAGGCTCTGACTAGCTTTCCCCGCAGTCCTGCTGCAAGGCCTACGAGTACATGGGCTTCATCATGGAGAAGGAGCAGTCCTACAAGGACGCAGCCAACAACTACGAGCTGGCCTGGAAGTACAGTCATCAAGCCAACCCTGCCATTGGTAAGGCAGCCAGCCAAGGTGCACGTGGGTGGGCCAGGGAGCTGGGCAGGAGGACCACCAGCCTGACCCCAGAACTCAAGGCCTGGATTCTGGCTGCTGTGGGATTCAGAGGGGTTCTCAGATCATCAGGGTGCCACCCACCATCTGTATTCTCCCTATTCCTGGACAGGCTTTAAACTCGCTTTCAACTACTTGAAGGATAAGAGATACGTGGAGGCCATCGAAGTCTGCCACAATGTAAGCCACCAACACTGGCAGGGCTTGGGGCAGTGGCCTGGGGCAGTGGCAGGGAGCCTGGCCTGATGTTTCACACCTTTTCTTGCTCTGTCCCAGGTCCTCAGGGAGCACCCCAACTACCCCAAAATCAGAGAAGAAATTTTGGAAAAGGCCCAAGGATCTTTGAGGCCCTAGCTGTCGTCAGTGGGAGCCAGTGTGGGTGCAAGCCATCAACCGACAGAAGTTTCATGGAGGGTGTAGGAAGTGGGTCAGTGGAGAAGAGGTTCAGAAAATGACATATTCTTCCCCACTTCTCTAGTGTGTGTGGTTTATTTGAATCATGCCTCATCTTCTCTAAGGGGCATCCCAACTCTTAATGTTGTTAAGGCACAAGAAGCAGTTTTGCTCTGAGGAAGAAAGACATCAACCAGCTTAGCTTTTGCTGGGTTCATTGGGCACCTTCTAATGGACCCCACTTTTATCTCAGACTCTGTGAAGAGGAAGAGGGGAACCAAGAGGCGGTTAAAAAATACCCTACAGCTATTTTGATATTGTTTTGTCAGCCCATAAATGCCTCCTCTCTCCTGTCTGGTCCCCGGAATGCTGGAGCTAAAGCAGCAGCTGCTCCTCCCTGCCATGCTGCCCTCTGCGTCCTCCCTGGCAGTGGGCCCAGATGGGAGGACCAGCTGCAGAAGGCCCCCAGGCTGAGGCTGTGTGAGCTAGGCCGTCATCCTGCAGGTCGGAAGGGCCATTGGCCCACTCTGTCCATACATCCTGTCTCCTCCTCCTCATGTCTTCAGTTGGCCTCTGCTGGTCCTCACTGGTTTGGGACAAACCTGATTACCCTGGCCTGGTGCAGGGAAATACCTCCCAAGAAAAATAGTTCCCACTTCAGTTTTTGTAAAAGACACCGACCAACTAATTCATCCTCCAGAAACCTTCTTAACACTTAAGGGGATGAAAGCAGTGGTCCCTGTTTGGATGAGTGTTGTAACTGGCAAGAGGGTGAAGAGGTCACCTTTGCTGTGCTCCCAGTACCTCTCTTCCTGTTTTTCAGGATGGCAGTAATGGGCCAGTCTGACCTCAGGGGAAGGAACTCTGAGCCGGGAGTCAGGAGGCCTAGAATCTTCCCGTGCGATCTTCCCAAGACCCTTCCCCTCTCTGGGTCTCAGTGTCCCCATCTGTGGCAGGAAATTAGACTAGATCTGTGTTCTCAAATCACAGCACAAATCCCTGCCAATGACAGACAGCAAACATTTGAAAGTTTAATAACTATGTGTTTAAATATAATTTTTATATAATAAAAATAGCTCAACAAACTCATGAATTCATGGGTGCTATTATACAGAATGCTTCTAACTTTTAAGCATATTGATAGAATTGATATAAAGTAAAATACTTAGGAGGAGGAGAATGCAGCTATGGCAAAGGTCTCAAGAGAAGTTGTCCAGTGACCAAGATTTGGGACCAGGGAACAGGTAAGGGTCCCTTTTAGAAGAGCCCGAGTTGTCCTTGGTGGTTGCCAAGCCTTGTTTTTATAACATATTGCTGATCCTGTGCATGGTCTGAGTCAATGATCTGGAACCTTTCACCAGGTTACTCCCATCATTCGTATGGGGAACCAGTCCACTTTGCTATTAGCTGCTTTGCAGCCCAGTGTCTTGGGGCAGGTTGTGTTGAGGCGGGTCTGTCTGTCTGGAGAATGATGCTATAAAGGATTGTCCATTAATCACGTTTTTATTGCTGTAAAACCTAAGTTGTCTTCAATTATCTAAAAAAAAAAAAAAAAAGCTGAGAAGTGACCCTGTGGCTCTAGATGGGGAGTGTACAGCCTCAGTCCAGCCTGGGCTGTGTCCATGGGGTATCGCCTGCAGGGGCTTCCACCCAGGGTCTCGGAGCTGCTGGGGGCTGGCACCCAGACCCCCAGGCCAGTCAAAGCAGAGCCTCAGAGCCTGGCTTTGGATCCTGCTTACTGAAGCAATTTCTACAAGAGGCTTCCCAAGGACCAGTGAGAAGGGAGACAGGACAACTGAATGTACCCGGATACTCCATCCTGAGAAGCCTAAGACCTGGCTGTCCTTGCCTATGCTGGTTACAGGCCGCCCCCCCATAGGCTAGACTCCAAGCCATGAGTCCTCTAATGGCTACTGACGATATGGCTATGTGGCCATGTCCATGCATGTTTGGAGACAAGAGACAGATACTTAAAGGGTGACAGAACAAGCAAAAAAGGGAGGATAGAACATACAGAAATAGAGGCAGAAACGTGAAAACAAAATGAAAGTCACAAACATGCACATGAGGCTGCATGTTCCAGGCATTTTTGTAAGCGCTGTGTATATGTGAGCTGGACAAGCTTATAAGGTGAGCACTGTTATAATTTGCACAGTATTGAGGACACCCAGGCAGAGAGGAAGTCACCTCATTAGGTATAGAAAAGCTGAGATTTGAACACGGCACTCTGGGCCCATGCTCTTAAACTGTAAGCCATCAAGATAAAATAAGGGGAGCCCAACACAGATCGACGGAGGCAGAGAATCAGAGCAAGAAAAGGACACCCAAGTCAGGTCTCCTTCTTTTGGTCCCCCTCACCAGCACTTGTGTAAATCATTACTCCTAACGGGGAGGTCGACCTTGCTCCTCGGGCCCCCAGACTGGGGCTCCCAAGGGCAAGGTGCAGCCTGCTCCTCTGGCCTGCAGCCCAGGCTGCCGGGGACAGGTCAGACAGGTCTGGCTGGTGCAGATGGATAAGGTTCTGCAGCTTCTGGTGCTCAAGTCCCCAGGGACCTCAGCTGCTCAGCCCCACGCTAGGCCTCCACCAGCCACATCCCACTGCCCGCCCCTACCCAGCTCAGGGTGGGTGAATGGGAAGGAGTGTGCCCTTTCCCATCCCAAGCAGACAGCCCCATCTCAGAAGACTGCCCTGCTGCTGCTCCCCACGGCCACCCCAGGTGACCACTGGAGAGAGATGGGGTCATCCAGGGGGAAAACTGCTCCCTCTGCCTGGCCGGCCTCTTAGCTGGCTTCCTGTCTCCAAGTTGCTTGGCCTGCGTGGAAGGAGGCCCAATGTGTTGTGTTCCCCACTCCCATCCCTAACACAGCCTGTGTCCACACTGCCCTGCAGGGCCTGTCTCCCCCTCCCTCCCACTGCCTCTAGAGGGTGGACCCATGCTCCCTGTTTCACAAACGCAGACCACACTGTTAAAAATAGAGCCTCTTTATTGGTACCTGTAAGCTCAGGTACAAAGTGTTCCCACAAGCACGCAGGCTGGCAAGGCCTCCTGGGCGAGAGGGCAGGCCCAGAGCCTGGGCTTCTTGGCACAGACACAGAGAAAAATGAATAAATTATAGTTCTAATACTCAGGGACAATATAGAAATTATGATGCAGAATTCAGTATCAGCAAACGAAAGGCATAAAAGCCATAAGAAGCCACCCCTCGTCCCTGGCCAGCTGGCCTTAGGGCATGGGCAGGTGGACCAGGCTGGAGTGCAGTGCCCAGAAAGCCCTGAGATAGTAGTCAGGGGCATGCTGAGGGCCCTGAGGCAAGTCCCTGGCCCTCTCTAGGCTTCCTGCTTCCCCCTCCTATATTCATGGGCCTGGAATAAAGGCTGTAACTTTTGGGAGCAGGGGAGATGGGGCAGAGGACAGGAAGCAGAGGGGGCTGCATGGGGCAGCACAGGGTTTTGGTCATGGTTGGTCAGCCCAGCCCCTCCCCCTGCCCAGATGCTGTCCCAGGCCAGCCCCTGCCTGCTCAGCCATCTGGAGCCAAGCAGCTGCCATAGTAGACTTAGGGCTCAGATCCACACCTGGTCTACACCAGACAGGGCAGGACTACAAGGCAAAAGGGACTCGGAGGGGTCTCTGCCCCACCCAACCCCCAGCACTGCCCACCAGCCAGACAGGAGACGCCTAAGCCACTTAGTCTCCAAATAAATTATGGAAATAAATTATAGTCTTCACAGTCCAGAGGATTCAGCCACCCAAGGGTCTAGGGCTCAGGGTGGCAGGAGAAGCAGTAAGAAGTGGCTGATTTCAGCCCTGTCTTGCTGTCTTTGGGCTGAAGAACATCATACAAGACCGACAAGGGGTCTGCAAAGCTCCAGGGGAGCCATGGTTCCTCCTCTTCCTGGCACAGCACTGCAGAAGCGGAAGAGACTATGTGGGCACCGAGTTAGGGGGAGGTGGGGTGCGGGGGCTGGGCGGCTGAGAGGGGAAGCCCCCTCCCCACCCTCTCTTCAGCACAGAAAGTGACAAAAATAAATAAATCAATCCAGAGTGTTGCACGAAAATCAGGAGTGCCCGCGTGGGTGAGCCAGCCCACGGGAAACCATTACATAATAGACCTCGGGAGCCCCCAAATTACAACAAAGCAGCAACAGGGCTCTTGGGGCCAGGTAAAGGCACCTTAGTCCTCACACGGGCACCGGCTCTACCAGAGATGCTGGGGCAGCGTCCTCAAACAACTGGCTGTCCGTGAAGGGAGCCAGGGCCTCGGCAGCTGGCTCGGACAAGCCCATGATGGACTCCAGGAAGCAAGTGCTGGCATCCCCAGGCGGAGAAAAGGCAGGCAAGAGGAAATGGGGTGCCTCAAGGTTGTCCAGGCTGTCAGACACCTTCCGGGAGGTGGAGTAAGGCCCCAGACTATAGTCTGGCAGGGCCTGGAGCAGTTCAAAGGAGTCGCAGGAAGACAAGCTGAGGTCTACTGAGCTGCTCTGGCCGGCGTCCGTGCTGGGCAGCCCTGAGGTGCCAGGGAGGCTGCCTTCTCCCAATCCTTCAAGGCCACTGTTTAGGAAGCAGCTGGCATCCAGGTTGGCGTTTTCATCCAGGATGCTTGATGTGAGGCTAGAACTGTAACAGCTGTGGGTCCAGCTGGCCAGGCCACCAGGGTCACCAGTACCAAAGATGTCAGCCGGGTGGAAGCAGCTGAGGTTGTCGAGGCTCCCCACTCCCCCTTCCTCTTCCTCCTCCTCCTCTCCACCCAGGTCAGAGTCACTGAAACTCAGGATTCGAGCCAAGCTGTCATCATCCACGCTAGGCGGGAAGCCAGGGCCAGGCAGGGCCGGGTGGGTGGGGCCGTCAGGGGCCTCGCTGGTGCCTGATGCTGTGGAGGAGTCGGTCATGTCGCTGCTGCAGCTGTTGTCTCCTAGCTCGCTGCTCACAGGGGGCTTGGCCAGTGGGAAAGTGGGGGCCAAGACAGGCTCATCAGGGCTAAGTGGGCCCCCCGGGGCAGGGGCCTCCAGCTCCCCAAGGCTCTCAGCCCCCTGCTCCAGCTGCAGACGGGTAAGCGTGTGGATGAAATGGGTCTGAACTCGTGCCTGATTAAATTCCACACGGCCCTTGGGGTTCTCACAGCCCTCCCTGCAGCAGCCACAGGGGAATGCTGTGTGGTCCATCTGCAGAGAAAGCAGAGAAATGAGTGAGGATGCCCTGGAGCCCCAAAAGTCCCCAAGCTCAGGCTTCCCTTCCCAGCCTGGTCTGGACACTATACCTGGCACTTGATGCCTGCTAGGCTGCAGCTGCAGGTCTCAGGGTCGCAGACCCTATCGCAGCGACAGCCACAATCCTCTCGGGATCGGCGCAGAGCCTGCAGCTCCCGCTTCTCCTCACGATCGATCCTCCGCACACCGGCGGCCCGTAGCAGGGCCCGCCGCTGCCGGGCTGGATAGGGCTGTAGAAAGGTCATTTCTTCCAACCGGCCACCTGCCACGGCCACTGCCAAGTCCTCCTCTACAGAGGCATCATCAATGGCGTCCACTGTAAGTGGTGGGCTGGCCTCTGTCTCAGGTACGCCAGCCTCTGCAAGCTGGATCCACAGGAGAGAGGAGGGATGTGAGAGGCACAGACATGTGGTCTTAGCCCTCACAGCCATCAGTCACTCAACAAACGCTCCCCTTGTGCTTACTCTGGGCTGGGCCCTGTGGATACCATAGTGATAGCCAAGAACACCTCGCTCAGGGCATTTACAAAGAGATTTCCTGTACATGTCACTTCCCAGTTCAGGGACAAACCCCCTCCCCAACCCAGACAGATACACCCACCCCCAACGCTGCATCAGTCCCACATCCCTTCCCCAGTGAGGTCAAATAGATTCAGGCACCTTGGACCCAGCCCCTGCAGCAAACTCGAGCCCTTCCAAACCCCACTGTCTGCAGGTAATTCAGGCAACAGACCCTGATCAAGCAATCGCTGGCTCCGTGGGCCTCTTTCCCCAAATACATAAGGAGCAAACTGGCATCCACCCCTGAGCCCCCGCCCCTCAAGGCTAGGACTTCAGAAGCTGCCCAAGGGCATGGACCTTGTAGAGGGTCTCCCCACCTTCCACTGCAGCACCTCCAGCTTTTCCTCCTTCAAGCGTAGGCGGAGCTTCTCGTGCCGGGCGCGGGCTTGCTCCTGTGTAAACTCGGCCAAGGAGAAGCGGCGGCAGGCGCTATGGTGAGGGGCCATACCCAGAGTGCAGCCGCCACGGCTGGGCACGCTGGTGAAGCCCTGGCACCGAGGAAAGTAGAAGACAGTGATGCCATCGAAGGCTACGCGGCCCGGGCGCTTGCGGGGAGCCCGCTTCAGGATGGACAGGGCTGGAAGGCAGACAGGGAAGGGGCAGGGCGTTAGCTCTCCGTGAGGAACAGCATAACCTCCAGGAAGACGATGCTGAACGGTGTCTCCTCGCACCTCCCTCACTTCCCTCCCACCCCCCAAAAAGAAATGAGTCTGAATTTAGGAGCCAGCCTGGCTGGGATTGGAGCTGGTAAAAATGACCACCACCCCTATGTCAACACCAGCTTACTGTTATTTACCAGTCCAAATGAGAGCCATTTGTAAGATCAAACATCTTTCCCATCTTTATTAGCTATTTATAGGTCCCTTGTATAGTTTTCTAGTTTTTATTTATTTGTAGGAGCTCTTTATATACAATATTAGAGATATTAATCATTTGTCTAACCTATCTGTGCAAATATTTTAGTCTTTTATTTTTGTTCATGGCATTTTACAAAATAATTTCTAAGGTTGATGTCACAAAAAAAGGTACTGATCTTTTCCTTTATAGCTTCTGCATTTTGTATCAGACTTAGAAAGGCCTTCCCTTTGTAAGTTATTGATTGTATATTGATTAGTAGGCTATGTATTGGTATAGTCTATACATAGACATATACATATATTGGTATATTATTGCGTTTTATTAGGTTGAACCATAAAAATTATCATAAAATTGTTGAATATTAGCAATTCCATAGAATTCAACTTAATATATTAATTTTGTACCCACACCTGAGGGAATTTCCCTTCTAAAAGGTTTTCCGTTTATATTTTTAAATTCACCAGGTAGTTAGCCATCTGCAAATAACGGCAGTTTTGCCTGTCCCAATCCAGTACGTAGGATTCTTATTCTCCTTGCTAACTGAATGGCTAGCACTTCTGAACAATGTTACTAAGAGTGGTGACAGCATCCTCATCTTGTTCCTGACACAGAGACCCTGCTTCCAGTATTTCCTCATTAATCAGAATGCCAGCTTTTGGGTCAAGACACATATTTTTCATTATTTAAGATAGAATTTGCTTATTCCTTTCTTACCAAGGGTCTTATCTAGAAGGAATGTTAGATTTTATCAAACATGCTTTCAGCATCTATAGCGGCTCTCATGTTTTTCCTCCTCTGACACAGTCATTTGGTAAACTATAAGACTGGATTTTATAACATTAAACCATCCTTGTATTTCCAGAATAAACCCAGAGTAGTTTAGTCAACATACTGTTAGATTCTATGTGCTAAAAGTTATACTCCTTTTTTATATATAATGCATATATATATATATATACACACATAATACATAGACATCATATCTGTGATATGAAAATGTTGTGTTGGGGTGATTAGGAAAAATAATGTCTAAAAGGGCTCCTTGGCATTGGGGGGAGCGATAATGAAAAATAAGATTGAGAAACACTGCTCTGGGGCCATCTTTGTCAGTTTGGAATCAGAATTACACCAGCTTGAAAAATAACTGGGGAAAAAACCTTTTCACTATGTTTGGGCAAAGCTGAGTAGCATTGTGACAGGAGAGGGACCGGCTTAACAGGCCTGGCAGCGGAGAAGTGTGGGGCGTGGGACTCCAGTAGTTCAGTTGGTAGGAGGACAGGGCACAAGCTGGAGAACGAAACTGAACAGAAGGGAGGAGCCAGAGCAGGAAGGCCTGAGGGCCACTCTGAGGAGCTCTGTCCTGCACGTCTTCTGAGCTGGGGAGTCCCAAGGGCAAAGGTCAATCTAGCTGGGCCCAACTGCCTCTGGACAGTGGGCATTCCTGAGTGACCACTATATTATGGAAAGCCAAGTAGGGAGCTAAAGCCATGGGGACACAACCTCCAGAGGCTGGAATGGATTTGTTAGGGTGCCCCCCAAATTTATCTTCAGGAAGGAAGAAGTGTATGGTGGGGTCCCCAGGGGAGAGGGGACTCACGGGTGAAACTTTGGGGGCCACAGAAGTCACGGCCAGGCAGGGGCATCTGATCCCAGGGGCCCTCCTCATCCGAGTCCCAGGCTGGGGAGACTGAGGAGTTCGGGGAGCAGGATCGAGAGTGGCAGCCCGAGGAGGACACAGAGGAGGAGGAGGAGCAGAGAGAGGAGTCGTCCTCGTCCAGCTGGTCAAACTTCCTCTTCAGCAGCCCAGTCATGGTGGTGCAGGGGGTGCTCTGGATTCTGGGCACAGACAGCCTGGAAGGGGAAGGAGAAAGCTCTAAGTGGCAGGCCTGAGGGCAGGAGGTGGGCCCTCAGCCATGACCATCATCTCCCCCAGTCACCCTCTGAGAAGTCCCCTCCCTTCGTCCTCCCAACCCGGCCTGCGGAGCTCTACATGCAGGCGGCACGTCTCCAGGAGGCTTCTGTGCACAAGGGCGAGCACCAAGGTCCAAACCCTCATCCTGGCGCCTGCAGACTCCTACCACCTCTGCCCAAAAGCCCTCCCAGACGCTGCCAGGCACCTTTCCCCACTACCTCCTACGACCCACCTTCACACACGCACACATCAGATTGACAGATGGACCCACAGACTGCAGTCCAGCCTCGCTCATTCCCCGACAGGAATCCTGGGGGCTGACTCACTGGCTGGGTGATTCACATGGCTCGCATCTGTGTGCCTTTGTGTGTGTGAGGCCGCCTGCACCGACAGCCTGCACAGCCCTTGTACAGTGGCTCTGCTTCCTCCTCCTCCTCCCCCAGCACACCCACAGACACACCACCCTGCACACACACACACACATACGGGCCGCAGGCCCTCCCTCTGGGGCCGGGCTGACCAGGGCACTCCGGGAAACAGGCTGGTTTTGACATTGGCCTCAATTCCCAGACCCAGGACTTTCCTGAGCCCCTCTTCTCCTGTGATGGAGCTGCTCAGACTTTCCCTCAGAAACCCCCGCCCCGCAGGAGAAGTCCCCTGCCTCCAGGCCTGACTGTGGGACCGGAGCCATGCAGGGTTCATGTCTCTTTAACATCTCTTGTTTGATCTTAAAAATTCACCTACATCCTGCCTTCTATTCCAATATCTAACCTAGTTTGTTTGCAGTTATTCCTTTGGAAATTATTTTTTACCCTTAAAAAAAAAAAAACACTTCTAGTGAAACTGACCAGCCAAGACAGTGTCCCACTCTCTCCTGTCTGTAGCTCGGTGACTCGGAGCACCCCAGGACACCCGGCTCTCTGTGTTTCCCCTTTGAGGGTCTCAGCCCTCCGCGGGAGTACAACCAGAGACTCCCACAGCCTGGCTGGCCTCATCCGGGTGGAGGGAACTTGGGGTTCCTTCCCCTAAATGCTGCAGCAAATAGGAGCCCCTTCCACTGCTTGGGAATCCCCAAAGGACTCAGTCCTATGGGCTGAGCACAATTACCTTGTCTCTCTGTGCATCCTGTGTCCTTTGGCACTCAAGGCTGGGCCTCAGGAGGTCACAGGAGGAAGGGGAAACGATGCAGAGGCCCCAGTGCTGGGGAGCCCCTCCCCCACTGCCATCACAGGAAATGAGAGAGAACAGGAAAAACCAACCAGAAGGCTGGCCCTCTCCCTGCTCAGGTGTCCTTTCCAAACACGACCCCTTTTGCCATGACTTCCATGAAGTCCCTGCATCCTAGACCTAGAGGGTGTGCTGTCACCGACCTGCTAGATAAAATCGATAAAATCCGTCCGGGGACAGCCTCGCCCGGCAGGCACCAGAGAGGCAGGAGAGCTTCCCTCCTCGCCAACCCTCCACGCTGGGCCCCAGGGGAAGAGGCCGCACAGGTGTTTCCGGGGGGCTTCTCGGCGGGTGGTTTCTCAGGCGTGGCTCCCTCCCTCCCAGGGTCAAACCACAAACAAAAACAACTGAGCTCCCAGCTGACCTGCAGGCTCTCCCAGGAGTTGGGGGAAGTCATGACCCATAGCCAGGCACACACACATACAGACCACAAGACACTCAGGCACACAGGAACTCACATGGACAAAACACACCCACACATCTTTTCCCCACCACAGTCCTGCTGGGAGACCCTATCCTTTCCCAAACTAGGGATGCTGTCTATGAGGTGCTGCTGAAGGCCGCCCTAATCACACCTCCAAGACTGACACCCCCCAAAACCAAATGCCCACTTGGTATCTCGGCCTGGCTGTCCCTAGAAACAAAATTCCGCAGGCCCCAAATCGAACCCTTTGTCTCTGTCCCCCAACCCCCCGTGCCATCTGTTCCTCTTCCTGTGCTCCCTATCTTAGTAACAGCACTGCCACCCACCCAGTTACTCAAGCCAGACCTGCAGTCACCCTCCACTCCCGCCTCCCTCTCCCCACATCCACATCCTGGAAGCACACATTCGCTCATTTAATGCACACAAGGCCAGGCACACGCAGTAGACACCGTGGAGGCCACCCAGCAGTGTTAAGAACTTTGACTCCAGAACCAGACTGCCTGCATTTGAACCCTGGCTCGGCTGGGTGACCCCAGGCAAGTTCCTTAACTTCTCTGTATCTCCAATTCTTTGTCTGAAAACCTTAAAGGGTTGGGAGGTTTACATAAATCAATACACTCAAGTTCTTAGTGATAAGTGCTCAGTGAATGTGTAATTCTGCACTGTAAAAAGAGAAAGAAAGAAAGAAACAGGATGAGCACACAGATGAACCTGCCTGATATCACATTGAGTGAAAGAAGCCAGAACCAGAATATATGTGAATGAAGTTCAGGAAAAGGCGAACCCAGTCAGTGATGATAGAAGGCAGAACAGTGGTTCGGGGTAGCGGAGCTGGGGCATGCACTGGGGACAGTCATGAGGGAATCTTCTGGGAGAGTCTTGAAATGTTCCATGTTGATCTGGGTGGTAGTTCCACGCGTGTCTAAAACTAAAAATTCATCTAGCTGTGTAAGATTCATATACTTCATGCATTCTATGTATGTCACCTTCAATTTTACAAGTTCATTATCCTATGTCTCTGCTACTACCCATGTCCCCTGCCTCTGCTCCTGCCCTCTCCCTGCAGCCAGTCTTTAACCTGCAGCCAGAGTGATCTTATTAAACCACATATCAGATCAGCCTGCCACCCCCACGCTTAGAAGCGCTCCGTAGCTCCCCTTGGGGAAGCTTGTCTTTAGGATCAAGTCTAGAATTCCAGGAAAGGCCAATGCAGGCCTGGCTGTTGCCTCCCTTCCAGACTCATAGTGCAAGACTCTCCCCACCCTCCTCTCACTTTATATCCCAGCTGAACTTGCAGTTCCCCTAATGGCCTTGCCCTGCTCACCTCCTGGCTTTTGCCCAAGCTGGAACCCAGCCTGACCTCACTTTAGAAGTCATCTCCAAGAGGGCCTCCCTGAGACCCCCTGCCCTCCTCAGTGACTACATGCCTCTCTGGGCTCCATGGACCCTGGGATTCCCCTATCACAGCCCTTATCTCCCCATCCTGCAACAGCCTCACTGCTCATCTCCCTCACACCAGGCTGAGGGTCCCTCTACCTGGCTGTCACTGTGCCCGTGCCTACAACAGAGTCAGGCATAGAGAAGGTACCTGAGGACCGGCAGTGGTAAACAGGCCGGCGCTGTGTATCAGGTATAAACAGAGACAAGATTCAGGTACATGAGGTCCCTGGGTGTCACTGGTCAGCATGATCTTCTCCTGTTCCTGTCACAGTTAGTTTGGGGGGTGGGTGGCGGGGAGCACATGCCCATCCCCTAGCCTGCATCAGAGGGGTTAAGTAAGAATGGTACCCAGAAAGGGATGGCTCTGCGGGCAGGAGGAGGAAACTTAGGCTGCAGGCATCTCAGGAGGCTCCCTGCTCCCCAAGAGTAAACAGAGAGAGAAAGAGATGTCAAGGAAGCAGGTTCCAGCCAGACACCCTGGCTCTGCCTCAAGCATGTCTACAGAATGGGAGCTTCAGGTGAGGGGCGATAAGCTCCAAGGCTGCAGACAGGAAAACAGGGACCCAAGGAGGCTTGCTTGGGCCGTGCTGCAGGCCCTCCTGAGGAACCCTAGCAGGATCTGCAGACCTGGGATGAAATGAGAAGTCGTCTCCTCCCTAATATGCCCTTGGGGTGGGGGGAAGGCAAAGAGCCCCTGGATCTCCTGCTTGGCTGTCCCACCTGGGAATCCAGAGGCTGAGAGAAGCAGAGGCGGGAGATGAGACAAAAAGACCCAGCCAGAGACAAGGAGAAGCCAAGTCAGAAAAGGAATGAAAGATAGTGAAAGAGTCCAAGAAAAGTGTCAGACAGTGAGTCAGAGGGTGGGGGAGGGGCCCTCAGCAGCTACCCAGGAATCAAGATCCCGACCATGGCACTGTTCCCAGGGCGAGCACAGCCCCCTCCTAGGGTCCTGGAGGAAGGAAAAGCAATTCCCAGGAGCTGGCTCAGACAGAAATACCACACCCCTGAAGAGCCCCGGAGACAGGCCCTGAATCAAAGAGAACCAGACTTCTTCCGGGATCTGCCTGGGCCCTGAGAATCAGGCTGCCCTCCTGCCACCACACACAGGCGCTGACAGCCCAGGACAAGGGGGGACGCCTCCCCACCCTACTTGCCACAACTATCTACACACTCAGGCCACATGGTGTGAATCCAGGAAAGGCCACCTCACCCTGGACACCAAGCAAACAAAGGCTGTTTGGGAGGGAGGGGGGAATATCTCCAGGGCCCTGAAGAGTCACACCAACTCCTCTGCGCACTCCAGCAGTCCCAATGCCCGACCCCCCCAGCCAGGGCTGGCATTGGGGAAGGGACACCTTCAGCTGCCTCCGTCCTCCTCCAGGAATCTGAAGAATGCATCCTTTAACCTCAGAGCCCCAGGCCTTGGCCAGACTGGGTCAGTTCCCCCTCTAACACCTGGGGCCACGTGACCCAAGGCCCTCAGGAGCTACTTCCTGGGAGAAGGGGAGGGTATCTCAGAGCACCAAGAGCCCCCAGTGGGATTGGCTGGAAAAACAGCCTAGGCAACCCAGAGAGCACAGACACACCCCTCCCCCACCCATCCCTGTGGAAGTGATCCTGGGGGAGGGGACAGTTCCTCAGCCTTGGCCTCCAGGGCCTGGCACTGGGTAGGTGCCAAATGTTTGCTGGCTCTGTGAGGCAATTGCTCCTGCAGAAGGGAAATTGCACCTGACAGTGACTGCTTCCTGCACGTAAGTGAGGCCTCCTTCACTCTCATTCATTCATTCATTCATTCATTCAACAAATACTTATTGAGCTCCTAAGACGTGCCAGGCACTGTGTCAGGCACTTGGGCATACAGGGAGCAAGACATACACTAGTGCTGCCCCCTTGAGCTTTGAGTTTAGTGGAAAGGAGTATAATCAGTTGCAAACCAGGGTTGAGGGCTCGGATGGAGGGTGGGAGGAGTGAGGCAGGAGGGGAACAGCTAGGGGTGAAGACAGGTCCCTCCGAGGAAGGATGTAGGAAGAGTTCCAGAGAGGGGCCACGGCAGTGTGAGGGACTTGAGGGGGGAGAGATAAAGTGGGGAGGAGGGAAAGGCGCCAGGGCTGACAGGGCGGGCTTTAGCCTGAGGGCACAGGAAGCCACACAAGGGTTTAAGTAGGGAGTGACAATACCAGATTTGCATTTTAAAAAGATGGCTCAGCACCGGGACTGGAGGGGATGGGAGGGGGTGTGACCGGTTGGACCGCGCTGCCCGAGCTAGGTGACAGATGACAGGACAAGGGCACAGGAGAAAGGGGAACAGACTGCTGGACGTGGAGACCGAAGAGGGCAGTGATGTCAAGGATTTGGGGGTGAGGTGATGAGTTCCGTTCCAGAGGACTATGAGACATCCGAGTGGAGGTGTCGGGTGGGCAGTGAGCCCGGGAGGGACCCTCTTGTGTCAGGAGTGTGGGCTATGTGTGTGATTATGCCAGGGAGCAGGAGTGACTAAGTGTGTGACGGCTGCTGTCGTGTGGGCATCTCAACAGTGCGTGCCTGTGGAAGGGCCCCCGGGGAGGGGAAACTGAGGACCGGGAGGAAGTACGTGCCGGGGAAGGAAGAAGTGCGTGGGAGAGAACCTACGTGTGCCCGCGGGTGGCCGGGGTAGCTGCGCCCGTGACTCACAGCGGTGGCCTCCGCGTGTGACGGTGACTGACAAACAGGTGAGCGTACGACACAATCCCTCCCTCCCTCCCGGGGTCCGTGACTCACGGAGCCTCAGTCCTCGCTCACCCCTCCACTCCCTCCCTGACCCCCGCCAGCTGGGGGCGCCAGGCACGCGCCGCAGCCCCGGCACCCGCCCCCGGGGGGAGCCCGAGGAGGAAGGTGACAAATGTCACCTGCTCCGGCCACGCGAGGAACTTCTGAAAAGTTCTCAGGCAACTGGGTCAAAAGGAAACTCACCCGCGGACGCGCGCACCCCGTCACCCCGCCACCCGCGCGCAA